GTGTCCCAAATAGTGATTAAAGTTTCATATTTGGTGGATGTGAACTGACCTTACATCAGCCCAGATGAAAAAAAAGCATGTGGAGGGGGATGTATTTCAGTGTGGACAGAGGGTGTAATAAGCTCCTGATAATGACGCATCACCTCGCTGAGGAGTTATAAGCAGAGGAGATGGACCTGAATCTGATGAATGGTCTCATTTGGTGGAGGATGAGAGGCTACGGTAAACAACAGGAGTGATAGATGTGGCGGCACTGTAAGGGAAAATCTAGTGGCCACGACAATCAGAGGGATCTTCCAGGCATGAAATGAACAAAGTGACGGAGCACGATTGAGTAAATCAGTTCAAACGGCATCAGATTAGGAAGTGTCTGGTGTGAGAGATATGGTCTTATCACCGTGCATAATGTATGGTGGCCCATCTATTGAATGTCTTGATTGTAATTGCGTTTTTTTATGTATGTGTGTGTGTGTGTGTGTGTCTTTGTGCTCAGGTTTACTCAATTTGCATTGCGCCATCTTTTCCTTTTGTGCAAGTGATGTAGACCTAAACGCTGCTGAACGCTACAGCGGAGGAGTTAGCATTCAGAGATGCTTTGCTGAGACAAGATAGAAAAGTCATCAAGGCTTGCCCTGATAGTCCTCTGGAAAAAAATATTAGCCAGCATTCTGTGCGTTTTGCTCAGCATTTTGTGGCTATAAGCCATTGTCAGGGAACGGGTAGATATCAATATTAGTGTGTATTTCAAATTAGAAATATATAAACTTCTTTTCAAAAGTTTGTAGTTCAGAAGAACAGCATTTATTTGAAATGCTAGGAAGCTTGTTTCTGCCATAGAATAAACAATGTAATTGCTATACTTTATATCTCACAATTCTGACTGTTTTCTTGGAATTGCTTGATATAAACATGCAATTCTGACTGTATAACAAGCAATTGCATTTTATTAAAAAAGTCAGAATTGTGAGATAAAAAGTTGCAATTCTATATATATATATATATATATACTATATATATATATATTTAATGTTTTAAAAATATAAAAATATTTTTTTAATGTTTTTTTTACTTTGGAAAATTAGCCAATTTGTATGCCTTCACAATTTATCACCATTATATAACATTTAAATATTTAAATATATAATTTAATTATTATCTATCTATTTAAGTCTACCTACATCGGGAAAGCATAAACAAATGCATTTTATAGTATTTTTTTTCATTTGCACAATAATATTGTAAATAATTGTATATTAATTATGATAATATTTTTGCATATTTTTGATATTTGCATAATGATAATATTTATGCATATATATATATATCAATTACAATGTGCCATTTATTATTTATTTATTTATTACAATGTGCCTAATTACACAAAGTCTGTGATCAACATTTATTGAAATTATGAAACTATGAAATTATTGATGCCAAATTTAATGTAACAGAGTTTAAGTAATTATAGCGAATAGGACTGTTAACAATACGTAACTATTGGTAGTTTGCAAGACCACATATTAATTGAACTGGGGTAAACATTTTTGAATCTGCCATTGAAAAACGGTGGTCCTCCAGTGGTGGTTACTTTATTCCTGAGGTGGATTTCTTGAAAGTTCTGTAGTAACATTTACAAATTAAATTATTAAAAGAAATACTATAAAAAAGCCTTGATTGAGTTAGATTAAAAAAAAGAGACATTAGTCTCTAGACATAGTGTGTTAAATAGATATAAATATACACTCACCTAAAGGATTATTAGGAACACCTGTTCAATTTCTCATTAATGCAATTATCTAATCAACCAATCACATGGCAGTTGCTTCAATGCATTTAGGGGTGTGGTCCTGGTCAAGACAATCTCCTGAACCCCAAACTGAATGCCAGAATGGGAAAGAAAGGTGATTTAAGCAATTTTGAGCGTGGCATGGTTGTTGGTGCCATGGATCCATCATGCCTTGTTACCACTGTGCAGGCTGGTGGTGGTGGTGTAATGGTGTGGGGGATGTTTTCTTGGCACACTTTAGGCCCCTTAGTGCCAATTGGGCATCGTTTAAATGCCACGGCCTACCTGAGCATTGTTTCTGACCATGTCCATCCCTTTATGGCCACCATGTACCCATCCTCTGATGGCTACTTCCAGCAGGATAATGCACCATGTCACAAAGCTCGAATCATTTCAAATTGGTTTCTTGAACATGACAATGAGTTCACTGTACTAAAATGGCCCCCACAGTCACCAGATCTCAACCCAATAGAGCATCTTTGGGATGTGGTGGAACGGGAGCTTCGTGCCCTGGATGTGCATCCCACAAATCTCCATCAACTGCAAGATGCTATCCTATCAATATGGGCCAACATTTCTAAAGAATGCTTTCAGCACCTTGTTGAATCAATGCCACGTAGAATTAAGGCAGTTCTGAATGCGAGGGGGTCAAACACAGTATTAGTATGGTGTTCCTAATAATCCTTTAGGTGAGTGTATATTTGACACACATTAGTGTGTTAAATAGATATCAAAGTTAATGGAATATCTTAATAATTTACATAACTTTGCAAAATATCTTGCTTACAAGAGGGTAAGACCAATTTGTTTACAGTGGAGTATTTGAGCATGAATATGTGTGTGTGTGTGTGTGTGTGTGTGAGGCACTGAAGGGCTACGGTAGGGAGCACATCCTGTTTGGCAGTGGCAGGGAGGCGGTACAGATGGTGAGCATTACATAATTGCAGTGCTTACAGGCTAATTGGAGACGCCATGGACCCTAGAGTGTATACGCAAACACTTTATGAGTGTACATAACTGCAGTAATCTCACTCTGAACAACTTGTTTAGTGGTTGTGAGCAAATCTCTGGCTGTGTTTTAAGTGGAACGGTGCACTTGCATACCTGCATACTGTGCTAGAGTCCAGCCATTTTATTGTCTCTCAAAATATGAAATATTTGCTACTATGCACTGCAGAAGTGTTGTCACAGCGTGCAATGACACACAGTTGATTTAGATTTTGCGGTAAATGGATCGGACATGTAAAGAGACTTGTCAGATTTATATAGGTAATGAGTATCATTAAAATCTTTTAACCCCATTGCGTTGGGCCTTTTATTTTTAGTGTGGGTCTCCGCTTGCCTGGTTTATTTGAAAATGATTTTAAATAAGTGCGCTTAATTGTATTGAACGTGCATTTGTTGTGTAGGCCTACTTCAAATCTTAAAAGCATAATCTTGCTCCCCGTGTTTTGGGCCAACATTTTTTTTAGGGGATTTTATGGTAATGTATTAGATTTATGCAGTAGATATAATCCATGTGTTACTTGTTAACCACTTTTTGAGCATAGACCTGAAAATGAATTTTCCAACTTAAACTGTCATAAATCTTGAATGCTTTGGAGCACAGACTGAAGTTTGGACTCTTTTTAAAGAGGGCACTTGGCAGATTATTTCTGAAGTGAAAAGAAAAGTGAACTTATCGAAGTTTATTGTTATGAAAAATGCACAAAAACACTATTTTCATATATATATATATATATATATATATATATATATATATATATATAAACTTTAAAACTTTAAACTTTAAAATTATCTGACTTTGATTTTCTGAAAAAAAAAATATGTAAAAAAAATCATCTGACTTTTATTTTCTGAAAAAAAAATGTAAAAAAAAATATATATTTTTTTTTACATTTTTTTTCCAGAAAATCAAAGTCAGATAATTTTAAAGTTAATATATTTTAAAATTGCAACTTCATTATTACAAATTTGTAATTGCAAATACATGAGTTTCAATATGACATTAACGCATGTTTTAGTTTACCATAAATGCTTCTCAGTACATTAACCACGCACTGACAAGCAAACTTTATACATATTTCAAAGACAATAGAAGTGATTATGAAATTACATATAAATACTTAAAGAGATAGTTCACCCCAAAAATGAAAATTCTGTTATAATTAGGGCTGTCAAACGATTAATCGTGATTATTCGCATCCAAAATAAAAGTTTGTGTTTACATAATATATGTGTGTGCACTGTGTATAATTATTTTTAATACATAAATACCCACACATGCATGTGTATTTAAGAAATATTTGCATGTATATACTGTATATAGACTGAATGTAGCCTATATACATAATGTATATTTTATATAAATATAAACATTTTATATATAAACAACATATTTTTCTTAAATATATACATGTGTGCATTTATATACAAAATAATTATACACAGCACACACACATATATTATGTAAACACAAACTTTTATTTTGAATGCGATTAATCGTTTGACAGCCCTAGTTATAATTTACACACCCTCAAGTTGTTTCAATGAATTTCTGTATGAATTTCTGTCTTCTGCTGAACACAAAAGAAGATATTTTGAAGATTATGGGTAACCAAACAGTTGATGACTTCCATAGTATAGTATTCTTCAAAATAACTTATTTTGTGGTCAACAGAAGAAAGACATTTTTTTATTCTCAAAAAGGGGGGTGACAGTTAAGGGGTTAAAGTAAATTATTTCTGTAAAAAGAATGCTAAGTGTACTTCTTTTGCTACTGCTTAAGATTTAAAAAAGAAATGTGTGAAACATTATTAAACATGCATTAATGAGCTTTCATTCTTCACATGTGATACAGTGTTTCATGCAGTGTGCTTTGATAAATGTGCCTGTATAGAGAAAACTTGCAGACTCTGCACGCTATACATAGTGCATCCTCAAAATACTAGGCTTTTAAAAATAGTTTGCCATTCTAAACATACCCTTTCTTTCTCTCTCTTCCTCCACCACTCTGTTCATTCTCAGGCAGCAATAGGTCACAGTCTATATGACCAGCCTTTCTCTTTTAAATCGTGACCTTTCGTTTGTCTCCCCTCTGAGACTTACAAAAGCCAGCTCTGTCTCACTCCTCTGAAAATAAAACCATCCTGACAAAACAACACACACACACACTCACTGTGAACTGACCTCCCTCTGTTTTATCTCACCACAGATCAACTGCGTCACCTTCCCTGTGCCCATGTCTACGCTGGAGCAGCAGCTTCTCAAGCCCAATGAATGGAGCTACTGCGACTATTTCTGGGTGAGAGACACACAGAGAGAGAGAGAGAGAGAGAGAGAGAGAGGACAATCATCCATGGTGGACCGCAGTGGCTGAGTGCTGATACCATACTAGGATTAGTATCGAACAGGTCACATCTATTAGAAGGACAAAAAAAAATGCATTGTGACAAATGTATGCTATACTGTAGCACACATAGAGTTAACCTGATGCATTAAAGTTTACCCATCCATCCAGTAATTAGTGAGTTATGTGTTTTTCAATTTTTTAATATTTTATTATATCTACACATTTTTTTATTAAAAAAAATAATAATAATTTAGTCCATCAGGTTTAAACTAAATTCAAATATCTTAGAAAATTTCGTCTTAGAAATTTAGTTTTTATATTTTATTTTAATGAACAAAAAGTTTAATGGTTTTTGGGCCAGATTTACTAACCGCTTGCGCCAGCACAAACCCTCTTTTAGCGTTAAAAAAACGAATGTCAGGATTTACTAAAGACACGCAGTGAAAAATTTGCGCTAAAAAGGCGTGGACAGGGTTATTTTGGCGGCTGACCTTATTGCATATGCATTTGTAGGAGTTTCCCTTTCAGACGCAAAATTTACGGCGGGGAGAGTTTTTTTATGAAAAAATTCTACATCTGTTATTCACCTATCATTTCACTTGGTAGGGTTAGGTTAAGGGGTAGGGATAGGGTTAGGACACATTTTTTTAGACAGGAATGTTGTTCCAATATGTTGACCCATGAACATGTCTTACTTGGCAAAATCACAGGCAAATGCTAAGAGGAGTATTTTGTTGGGTGGATTCTTCCTGGCTGTTTCTCAAGTCAAGCGTGTGAAGAGGCTATGACACTTCTGTCATGTGTGGCTTGGCACATCAACTTCCATCACAACAGCAGACTCTTATACCTCACACACACACACACACACACACACACAGAGAAAAGCATATTCCATTACCATGCTGCGTACACACATTGCATCAGGAGCCCTCACATTATATTAGTCATACCCTCAACAACCTATACACACCCTTCACCGAAACGCACACTCACTGTTACACCCGCAAGGCCGTACGCCCCCTCCCACGTGCTCTGATTCATGCAAACCTACACTGTGACTCACACTCACTGTGGCTCACGTGTTGTTGACAGTCTGGTTCTGATGATGTGGTAGTGTGTGTAACGTCTCTCTGTCCTCTGCAGGCCGATAAGAGGGACCCTCAGGGGGCAACAGTGTCAGGGTTCGAAGTGCTGCTGCAGAAACAGCTGAAGGGAAAGCAGATGCAGAAAGAGATGGCTGAGTTCATCAGAGAAAGGTGGGAAAGCCTCTTTCTCACACTGACTCCTTATGTAACACCTCACTCTGTATTACACTGCAAAACAAACATTTTCTTGAAGTCGGCATGAAAAAGAAGTTGCAATAGTTTTTTCTTCCTCCTCGAAGAAGAAAAATGTAGGGCTGGGCTTGATTTTGTCCTTGGGGAATTGATTTGATGGTTGTGGTTTGCTATTGGTGGATCTCATGTGAGTGACAGGTTGCCCCGCCCTCACGCCAGTAAACATGTCATCAGAGAAGAGAAGAGGTGTTGCTGCATGAGGGAGGGGAAGTTATTTTGATTAAAGATTATGAGGGACCATGAATAATAATAAAAAAAATGGACACAGATAAATAATTTAATAAATACTGCACTATTCCATAAAAACAATAGGAATTATCAATTGTGATGTCATGGTGACTTTAATCAGTATTTTTGCCTTGTAAAAAATGTCTAAACATCCTTAAAACACAGGTTCTCAACCTTTTGGACTCTAAGGTTGCCCACAATATTCAAAGGACCCAACCACTGTTATCCATTAAGCCGGTATTTCTGCTGTAATCATGTCAAAACAGCTTTTTTTCTATCTTTTTTTATTAACACAACTGATTTATTAAATGCGTAAATTAACCAAAATTGATTCTGTGATTCCAGAAGTTTCAAGAAGTGTATGTTCTTCAATAAAATCAAGTTACTGATTGATTTTAGGTGTTTCTTAGAATTTGAATTACTGTAGATTAGAGTGGTATTACTTGAATATATTAATAATAATTTATTAACTTAACTAGTTTTTAGTCATCTTGCGGTGGAGTTCTTTCAGTAGTACTATATGAGACTATATGCCACATTGAAATGTTTTGTCTTGATAACGCTTTGTTTCAGGATAAAAATCGAAGAGGAATATGCCAAGAACCTTTCCAAACTCTCCATGTTCCCAATGGCAGCACAAGAGGAAGGGTACGTCACAAGGATGATTTAGAAGTAGTATTGAAGGTTTTTGAGTACTGGACACTTTGTTTTTTTATGGAAGCTTGTTTCCGCCACGGAATAAAACAATTAAAAAGTTAATTGCGACTTTTTTTCTTACAATTCGGACTTTTTTCTCACAATTTTGAGTTATAAAGTCAGAATTATGATATATAAAGTCACAATTGCCAGATAAAAAAAGTGGCAATTACCTTTTTTATTATTCGGTGGCCGAAACATGCTTCCATAGTTTTTCCATCCAGTTGAGGATTAAAAAAATAATAATAATTTATTATATAAAAAGCTTTGAGCTAGATACATTTGAAAAGAATGAAATATATTAAACAAATTGAATTCAAGAATAAATTAACACGTACTTAAAAACATGCTTACACAAGCTTAATTTTATTGAATGCGCACTTGTAGTGTACTTCAAGTCTTAAAAGTATCATTTTAAAAAACTGTACTTGCAGAAAATGTATAATATTAGTAAAATAAAAGGCCAACTGAGTGTACTAAAAGACTGTATTTCATGACTATATTTAAGTAGACTTTAAGTGCACTTTGTAATAATGTCAAATTAAAAGTTTTACTTTAAAGTGCATTTTAAGTCATCATGGTTTAGTAATCTTTTGGGGTGTTTAAGAAACACCCCAAAATAAGAAGTACACTTATTTTGATAACTCTGAAGAGTAATGTGGTATAGCTTTAACCAGGTTTTATTGGTTAGGACTCTTGGAGAAGCTTGGGCTCAAGTCAAGAAGAGTCTAGCTGATGAAGCCGAGGTCCATCTCAAGTTCTCCTCAAAGGTGGGCAGTTTTGAGTTCACTCTTATGATGACATTTCTCAATAGAGGTGATATAAGATCCAGTTGAGAAACTGGCAGTTCAAACTCATGCATTGTCAGGGAAGATGCAGTATCCGGCCTTTATTTCATTTCTGTGGCGTACTGAGTAGCTTCCCCTCAGAGATGTTATTAGCTGCCTGTATGTAATGAGCTACACCGCTTTTCTCAGTCTGCTGTGATTTGTCTATTTCCACCGCTGTGCTTTCCCAAGTTCACACTTGCGTGCTCTATTTACTGCCAGTGTGGGTGATTAATTGCAGAAAGATGGAGGTGATTCTGCAGTCTTATTCCCTCAGATCACAGGTGATTTACGGAGACGGCAAAACAAAAGCCTTCTTTCTTAAAGAACATCATCATCATAATCATTACCGGAGCAGAAACTTTGGGCTTGATCCAAATACTGTATGCGCTGAAATGAAGTAAACGTGGTCTTAGAGAACCACACACACACACCCACAGCTCATTTCAGACGCTGTTCGATGTTCAACTGATTTCAAGGATTTTCTCTCCAGCTCCAGAGTGAAGTCGAGAAGCCTTTCCTGACCTTCAGAGGGGACAACTTTAAAAAAGACATGAAGAAATACGACCACCACATCGCTGACCTGAGAAAGCAGCTGGTCAGCCGTTATGCTGCAGTGGAGAAGGTGCAAACTCTATAAATGTTTTGTTGAAACCCTAAGTGTACATAATTCCTTTGAATGTGCACTTGTCAAATCTTAAAAGATTTTTAAAAATCTTAAAAGACAAAAATCTTTTGTCACATTCAAATCTTTAAAGTATGAGTCTATAATTGGATCATTTCTTAACTCTTTAGAACCTGAAGCTAAAATAGGTTTGTTGCACATATTTTTTTTTTTTTTTTTTTTTTTTTACTGTAAAATTCTAAAACAATTTACTATCTTCATGTGCAAGGTGTCATCTTTTTCAGAAAAAAATTAGCTTTCAACAAATTACAGTTATTGGCCATTACTGTGTGTGGTGAGTTTGTAAATAGAATTTGAATAGACAAAAATAAAAAATAAACGAGAATAGATTTACTGATTTTTTTAATATTTAGAAAAAAACTGAAAAATCATGAACGAAAGAAACCAACACTTTAAAAATGAAAAACTATAATACATATATACAAGACTTTTTTTTTGTGACACTGGGCTGCACAGTTTTCATTTAGGACACTTTTTTTCCATACACGCACACATATAATAATGCATGCATACAACACGCACACCTAGGCTACACATGCACACACCACATGCTAAGATGCGTGAAAGAGTAACAGCCATCTGCCCCCCAAGTTTAATCAAAAATCATCCCAATCCCCTCTTCTGCTGTCTACCACTTAATTCGCCATGTATTTGTTCGTTTCTTTTATTATTTTATGCAATCCAAAACACTCTAACCTTCTACGCTTCGTATCTCTCTGTGCAAATCCTTCCTTCCCTCTCTGGCAGAAAGCGGCTGTCATTTGCTGAAATTACCGTAATAGGCCGTATATTGCAGAAAAGCTCATGTTGTCTACTGTCAGGGGCAATTTGAATAGTTTTGATAGTGCAAACGGTTGCATAGTTACGGTAAAATGTACAATATTTACAATAGATGTTATTAAGTAATTACATATAAATATGTACTTACTGTAAATGGGTTAAAAACACTCTTAAGCTCAGCTAATTGCATTTAATATAAATTTAAACTGAAATACATTTTCATTTAATTATAAATAACATGCAATTAAGTTTCTGAAAACATTACATTCAGTTCACTCTTAAGTATGTTCTTTTAAAATGTATTATTTCCATAACAAATACTGTTTTTTAAAAGTATGCTAAAGGTTTTTACAAGGGAACATTAAAATCCATTGTGATTTTGTCAAGCATATTTAAACTTTCTTTTCAAGTCAGTGTGTTGCTGGTACAAATGGCTCTAAAATGTTTCCCAGGTTGCACTTTATGTCTTGAAGCCAGTGTGTCGACATGTCTATTCCAGCTTGTGCATGGACAGCAGATGGCTGGATGAGAAATGAGAACACATCAGAATGATGCCTTGAGAGATTCACTTGTTTATCCCTCTGATTAAACATCAGCAGTGACCCCAGGCCTCTTATCCGTCATTCATTTCCAGTGAGAATTGGCCATTTCTGGCGACATGAGCAACAGTAACCATAGGCAATGCATCGAAGTTTAGCACAATTTAACTGTCGCAATGCGGTAGCTATCAATGGGATTGCAGACAATGAAGCTCACATGATCTATGGCTTGATATGATTGAATACAGCAGAGAACATCTACTAATAATCTAACAACCTCCAGACAACATGACTGTGTGAACCAATTCAGACTAAATGTGCAGTTCTGTTAGCCAGTGTGGCATAGTATCAATTATTTACATTACATTCTATTTCATTTACTTGCTAGATAATTACAAAATCACACAAATCGGGGTTTCAACCTTTGTTCAATGTCTTAATTTAGTGTTTAAAAAATGCTAATTCCATCGCAATTGATTAGAAAATCTCTCTCAAGTTTTGGTTTGACCTTTTGAGGTTGATGGTACTTTGTTTTCTTATTTTCTGAAGGTCAGACACTTCCTTTCTCTGATCATTTGTTGAAGAAGGAAAAGTATTATGGTATATTTTGTGCCCTATTTGTGGAAAGTTGCCACATATAATCTGGTCTTCGCATGACTTCTTTGTGTTGTGTTTTGCAGGCACGGAAGGCTCTAGCAGACAGACAGAAGGATCTTGAGGTGAAAACACAGCAGCTTGAGATCAAATTGAGCAACAAAACAGAGGAGGATATTAAGAAAGCCCGACGGAAATCCACACAAGCAGGTCAGAGCATCAGTACAAAAGCAGTTCATTAAGCCCAAACTTGTGTGATCTTATTACACACAATAAACCTGAAGACACTTTTCTTTGATCTAAGATGTTACTAAACCCAGGAAATAAGTGGAGTTACAATGCTAGTTTAAAGGTGCTCTACGTAACTTTTAGCGGCCTCTAGTAGTGATGTTTCAGATTGCAACCAAATTTTACAAGAGCGCTCGTGCTCGAACTCATAGACAATACCGTCTATTACGCAAATATCTCGGCGAATGCTTGACGGATTCGGCGAGCACCGAGCTCGTTGGGACCATCTAGTCGAGCTGAAAAGAACCATATAAGTTCCATAGTTTTTGGTGGTGTTTTCGCGGAGATATTAGCAGAAAACCATCGGGCGCGCTGCAAAATTGCGGACGCCGGTGACGTCACGATCTTCTTCTTCGAGGAGAAAATCGCTCGTATCTCTGGAACGTAAAGACCCAGAGAGCTCAAATTCGGGGGAGGAGGTCCCAGGGGAACCCTTGCCCGAATGCTAGAGTGGCGGGCCTCGGGGATGCCCCCTACCGGATCGCCGTTCGCTGGGACCCCCGATTTCGAACGGCTATAACTCGGGGAGCCGGGCGAGTTGGACCTCGGGGGTGGGCTCGTTCGAAAGGCCCCGTCCAGCACTACGAACGATTAGAGTCTTGGGAATATTGATCAAAGATTGACTGAGATATAAGCCGAAAAACGTGCGCCTTTAACCGGACGTAACTCCCTGACCGTCTACAATAGACTGTATATAAGGAGAGAGGCTCGGGAGCGCGCATGCACGTCACATCCGTTGTATTTCGCGGTAAAGAACTAAGAACTTGCAGTGGATGGGAAAGTTTCAAAGTGACATAATAACGGATAATTTCAGTCTGGTCTTTATACAAAGCTATTGTATATGGCCTCAAATACATTTAATAAGCAATTGTCGAGCTTCAAATGCTACCTAAGTATCATAAGTATGTAAATAAGTATCATATTTGATTCATCAGGCTCATGTAAAATACTGTAATATATGAGAACATGGAGCTCACATTTGAGGGGGGAAAAAACACCTACATTTTATTCAGAGGCCCAAACTGAGCAAAAATGTGCAGTTGCTGAAATTTTAATAGCCAGAATAAGATACAATTCTGATAGCTTGTATAATGTAAATCAATTTTTCAGCAAAGTTTTGATCATGTTGATAATTTAGAAGCCTTTAGAATTTTGCATATCAAATATGATGCAATAGGGTTAAACAGTTCATTAAAAAGCCCATCAGAACTATAAGAATCCTCAAGTCATCAGTTATGGCGGAAAATCGATGCCTAAAATAACCGAGCGCACAACTGATGCATTGATTTGCCGCCATAACCAGTCCCTCAATTTGTTCCAGCTGTCATAACACTGTAGCAGACAAACTTTCTGACTTCCTCAATAGTTTCTCGGTTTAAAAACTTCCGGCCATTCTCTTCCACTTAGGATAGCTTTGCAAATTAAGCGAACCCATAATCAGGCATCAGTGCTTTAAGTAAGGAGCTTTCTTTGTGGTGAAATCTTGCGCAGGGCACCATTCGGCTGCCAATGTTGTAGCGTGTGGAGATGGGACTGTGTTTTTGAGCTGTGGAGAGAGGCATGACAAACAGGATGGGAGAGAACGCTGCATGGGGATAGAAGAGGACCGTGGCTCAGTCCCAGGAGTCTCTGTTTGAGAGGAGCCAGGCTGTATTGGTTCCAGACGGAGTTGGGAAAGGCATGGAGTAAAGATCTATTTTTGCAGTGGGAAAACGGGCCTTGTGGGAGCGGACGATCAGCATGCCAAGAGTCTTATTCCTCAGATGCCTACTATCAATGCCGGATTTGTCCTGAGTTGGACACTCACACATCCCTAACGCAAGAAGACCTGGCAGCCCTGAGGTTCACACGGGGGAGAATTCACTCACCCTTCGAGGTTCGGGACAACCTGTTGGCCTGAGTGAAGGCTGCATTATTGAGGACTCTTAACGGTGTCTTATTCAGTTCTTATAGGCTGTCTCTATTAGCACAGAGGGCCAAATGACCATGACTGACTCTTGTACAGCCACACTGAGTGTTTTAGTCTAGCAGCACTGTGAGAGAAGTTCCTGGTTCACTATTCAATTCCAAAACACAACATGCACTCACTTTAAAGTAATGAAAAGTAGGCTACCATGATATTGACATGTTTTGTAACTGAAAAGTTTTTTTGGTGATAGGTATTCCAAGCACTACGTATCATGGAATTCCATGCCATGGTACATGGCACACTATGATGATCATTCAGTACCATGGCTTTTTTATTCAGGACCTGTCTTTCAACCTTGGAACCACCTCAGCAGTTTTTGTGCTTTTGATCAGAATCACGTGACAATTAGTAAAATGATTCCTTTACGTCAGGGTTTACGTTAAGGATTTGAAATCCTTAAAGTATGCAGAAATTGAGGGTGGGAAATTTTTATTTTATTATTTTTATTTTATAAAATAAATATACAAACATGTTTAGTTAACTTCATATAATGCGAAAAACAATACGCCAACAGAGTAGTATTTCCGAATTTATAGTATTCTGGATAGTAATACGCTGGTAGGTCACGTATGTTGCAAGCAGGGCAGGGCCGAGAGCCATGAGAGAATGGCGTGAGGCCGGTGGCGGGACTGATAATGAGCATCACCTGTGCGCTGCACCGGTCTCGTATCTCTCACGAAGGAGCTTTGGAAGCATAAAAAGAGGAGCGATGACAGTGAAGGATGAGAGAGGACCAGGCCTCTTCTTTTCCCAGTGATGTTCCTCTGAGGTTTTCTTTTTTGTAATCTCTGTCAGCCATCTCTCTTTCTATGTTCTTTCTTCAAATATCCCTCTTGCACTCTCTCTCCTCCCCCCTACTGATGATTGGCTCACTCTCTCTCCTCCCCATCATGTGTGGACACGCCCCCTACTGCTGATTGGCTCACTATATCTCCTCCCACATCATGAGTGACACGCCCCCTACTGCTGATTGGCTCACGCTCTCTCCTCCCCCATCATGAGTGACATGCCCCCTACTGCTGATTGGCTCACTCTCTCTCCTCCCCCATCATGAGTGGACACGCCCTCTACTGCTGATTGGCTAACTCTCTCTCCTCCCCCATCATGAGTGACATGTCCCCTTCTGCTGATTGGCTCACTCTCTCCTCCCCCATCATGAGTGACATGCCCCCTACTGCTGATTGGCTCACTCTCTCTCCTCCCCCATCATGAGTGGACACGCCCTCTACTACTGATTGGCTAACTCTCTCTCCTCCCCCATCATGAGTGACATGTCCCCTACTGCTGATTGGCTCACTCTCTCTCCTCCCACATCATGAGTGACACGCCCCCTACTGATGATCGGCTCACTCTCTCTCCTCCCCATCATGTGTGGACACGCCCCCTACTGCTGATTGGCTCACTCTATCTCCTCCCACATCATGAGTGACACGCCCCCTACTGCTGATTGGCTCACGCTCTCTCCTCCCCCATCATGAGTGACATGCCCCCTACTGCTGATTGGCTCACTCTCTCTTCTCCCCCATCATGAGTGGACACGCCCTCTACTGCTGATTGGCTCACTCTCTCTCCTCCCCCATCATGAGTGACATGTCCCCTTCTGCTGATTGGCTCACTCTCTCTTCCCCCATCATGAGTGACATGTCCCCTTTCTGCTGATTGGCTCACTCTCTCTTCCCCCATCATGAGTGACACGCCCCTTACTGCTGATTGGCTCACTCTTTACTTGATTTACTTGATTTAATTATTATCTGCATTTGACCATAATGTACTATCGGTTACGAAATGAAATGGGGTTCTCTGGGTCTGTTCTTAAATGGATTTCCTCTTATCTGAGTGACAGATCATTTTGTGTGTTTGTTAACAGCATTCTGTCTGAAATGTCCCCTCTGTCATGTGGAGTTCCTCAGGGCTCGGTTTTAGGTCCTATTTTGTTTTTATTGTATATTAGCCCTCTTTGTGAAATAATTTGTCATTTTAAAAGTGTCTTATCACTTTTATGTTGACGACATTCAGTTGTACTGTTCATTCAAAGAGTCAGAGTTAATTAAGTTAACTGAATTATTGGAATGCCTGTCTTGCATTATGAACTGGTTAAACAATAACTACTTACAACTGAATACAAAAAAGACTGATACCTTAATCATTGCTCCAGACCAAAAACTACTTCAAATCAGCTCATCTGTCCAGTTGAGCCTTAGAAACCTTGGTGTTTTGTTCAAGTAATCACTGTCTCTTGATCGTCATTCTAGACAGTTGGTCAGAAACTGTTTTTATCATTTGAGAAATATTTCTAAATTGAGAACATTGTTGTCCAAAGCTGACATGGAGTTGATTATTCATGCCTTTATTTTTTCTCGTTTAGATTATTGTAATTCTCTTTTTACTTGTTTTAACAAATCTTCTCTGAGTCGTCTCCAAATGGTGCAAAACGCTGCAGCCAGGCTTTTAGCAGGAACCAACAGAAGGACACACATTACACCGGCTTTATCCACACTCCATTGGCTTCCAGTCAAATATAGAATTGATTATAAAATTTTAGTTTTTTGCCCTGCCCGTCGCTGCGTGTGGTCAAATCTGAAGCATCTGAAGACACTTTTATTTAGACAAGCTTTTAGTTAATTGGGCTTTTATGTTTTGTTTTTAGCTCTGATAGGTTTATTGTTCTTTTATTTAAATTGTTGGTAACATCAGCTTCACAGATTGGTGGATCTCTCTTAATATTTCAATAATGAATAAATAAATAATTTAAATAAATTATAAATAAATGTTATATATATATATATATATATATATATATATATACACACACAACACATTATATATATATAAACTGTATAAAAACTCTTATGAATAAATATACCCAATAAACATTCAAGAATATATATATATATAAAAAAAGGTTTTGCTTTAGTAGTCACAATATACAGTAAAGGGCAACATGCCTTTATAATATCACACTTGTATGATATTGTATATTCTCTCACACTGTATGGGTCAATATAGATGCATATCGAATTGCCTATATATTTTAGGAAGGTGGTCTCTCGCAAGAGGATGATTATATTTAGAAGTCTTTGGCATCAAAATGTCTGCAAATTTAACCCTCGCCTTAGATTGAATGTGGAACCCGCCAAAGACCACAATGGTACAGAGACTTGAGAATATGGACTCTTCAACCAGTAAGCAACTTTCTAGTAACCGCCTAGTATCCACCCAGAACACATTAGCAATGCAAAGCAATGCCCAGGCAGGCAACACCCTAGCACAATTAAAAAAAAAAGATGTAAAAATCGAGTTTATATTATCATACTCATTTGTTATTGATTAGAATTACTCCAATTACAATAAGCCATTTGATATGGTGTAAAACAAAAGTCAGCTTTGATTTCCTTTGTTTGCAGAGATCTCTTCCAGTGCTCGACTGCAGGAGATTGTTTTTAATTGTGATGCTGCCAAGAGCTTTACTGTGTTTTCCACTGCAGCTGAGCTCAGTAAAAAAACCCTGTATGATGTTATCTGCATCTCTCTCTTTCCCAAACTCCCACGCACAGAGCGAGTCACAGTTCCCGCTATAAATCAACGGCCAAACATTAAGCAGGGCTCAAACGCCGTTTTCCTTCAATAATCATGGCAGTTCAAATCACTAATGCAGATGTCTTTAAAGCCTATGCAGATCATTTACATATAGATGGAGCAATCTTTTTTTTTTTTTCTTTTTTTTTTTTTTCAAGATCTCAATACTCTCTTTCTCTCTCGCACACATCTGCCTCCTTTTCCCTCAGATTACCTTTAATTATGCACTTAAGTGTAAAGCAGTTGTGGGTGAAAACAGCTGTGGGTAAACAGCTTGGAGTTTGAATGTTAACTGTGATTGTTGTTACAGAAGGCAATACAAATAGTAATAAATAAGTTGAGGCTGCTGCCATCTGCTGGCAAGCAATGTGCCTACACAGCTATGAAAAATATTCAGCATCTTTGTTTGTTTTACCAGTTAAAATATCCAAATTGCATTTAAACAAGATATATTCCTTGTTTGAAAAGCATAATCGCTATTAGGTGCAAAGACCCAGTAAAATAGTTACAGACATTAAGATAAACTTTTTTCAAGACCAAGGCATGCATGATGCATAAAAAAAAAATTGGTAAAATTCTATTTAATTACAAAATGTGTTCTTTTGTATTTTCTTACATATTTTCAATGTTTATAATTTTGAAATCAAGTTTAAGAAGAAATCAAATGCTTAGGAGAAGTTTATATTGTCTTCCATTTTTTTCCACTTATTTTAAGCATAAACCACACCGCTTTTTTTTATTTATTTTTTATTGTAATGTAACTGCATGATTGTAATGAGCGTCTCTGTGTTTTATCTGAATAGGTGATGATCTGATGCGCTGTGTGGACCTTTACAACCAGGCTCAGTCAAAGTGGTTTGAGGAGATGGTCACCACAAGCCTGGTAATTACTTCATGATGTTTCTCTCTCGCTTCCCTGAGCAACATGATATATCATGCATATTTATGCAGAGATTTCTGAATCTTCTTTATGAGACAAACCATGTGCAAATTCAACACCATTGCTGAGTATTTTCTCCTTAAAACTGCAGTGAACCAAAGACAGTCTCAAAAACACGGTTTGAAATTGCTGGTGTTTCTGACGTCACAAACTACGTTGTAACCAATCAGGTCAACGGTTGATCGTCAACGAGTGGATCTTTGAGCTGGTGCGAGTGAGTGGAGGCGGGGCTCATTTGCATATTCCTCGAACCGCGTATATTAAATGGGGCAAGGGTTTAGAGTTACATTCGAGCTATTTTAAGGCATGACAAAAAATGTTTCCAAAAAAAATCGTCATTTTGGTGATCAAAGATGAGTTTTAAGGGATAAAATAATTGACTAAAGGGGGACTTTAAGGATTCTGGGTAGTGTAGTTCTTCACTGGGAATTCATCAATTGAATGGAAAATAAGTTGAATTTTCACTGACCTGTGGCTTCTGTATTATGAATCTTCACTATATAGCCCTGTACTCATGGCAGGTATCTTGAATGGTTTATACATTACTGTGAATAATTAATTTCACCATAAAGAAAATGAATAGTATTTTTGTCTAAGCCATCAGCTCATCGTTCCACTGATGTCCCAATGACTGTAAGATGCACTCTTAGAAGAAAAAGTTCTATATAGAACCTTAAAGGGTTCTTTTACACACTTCATATATAGAACCTTTTATGGCTTCCTATCCTAAGATTGGATTTTTTTATGTTTTAATTGATTTTAATTGTAATATTAAACAGCTCATTAACATACTTTATCAGTAGAAAAAAATGAAATAACTCATTAAACATGAAAGTATTATGCAATCATTTAAGACTCTTTATATATAGAACCTTTTTGGCATAAGAAGTTCTTTAAGATTGAGTCAAGAACCACACTGAACCTTTTTTCTAAAGGCCGTGCACAGACTGATGCTGGACCTGTGATTGTCTGTGTTTGTGCTCTGAAGGAGTTGGAGAGGCTGGAGGTGGAGCGAGTAGAGATGATCCAGCAGCATCTGCGTCAGTACACTACGCTGCGGCATGAGACCGACATGTTCAACCAAAGTGTGAGTAACAGCAGTATGTTCTTCTGGGTAACAAACCCTCAGCTAAGCGCCATTTCAAAACCCAAACTTCATATTCATACCGTACTATCTGTAGTGCATTCGAATTTCATTAAAGCAGGTTTCAAAGGATTTGTAATACGGTCGGGAAAATCTCATTACATGAGCTTTATTATGTACGCAGTTTATAAGCTTATAATTTCAGAGATATTTTTGCTTAATGTCTTTTACTCAACTAGTGTTTTGGTGATTTTTAATGGATGTATAAGTACGTTATCCTCAAGTTCACGCAAGTTTCCTTGCAGAGTAAAGACATATATCATTACAGTAACTATCAACATCGTCCACAAACGTTCGACATCCTGAAAGCATCCAGATACTTTCCTGTCTTAAAGGGATAGTTCACCCAAAAATGAAAATTCTGTCAACATTTACTCACCCTCACGTCATTCCAATCCCGTAAGACTTTCGTTCCTCTTCAGAACACAAATGAAGATCTTTTTAATAAAAATCTGAGAGCTTTCTCTTCCTCCATTGACAGCGACGCAACTACCACTTTCAAGCCCCAGAAAGGTAGTAAAGTCATCATTAAAGTAATCCATGAGACCCTCAATTTTATGAAGCAGTGTGAGGGTTTGTTTGCACAAAAAGCATAATTTTCCACTTTATTTCTATAATATTAATCTCCCACGTGCGTTCATGAGAGCACCACTATGCATTCGTGTTGTTGATGCGAAAGCAGACTTTGTTGCGTGAACGTGCGTTGGAGATTAATATTTTCTAAATAAAGTGGTAAATTATGCTTTTTGCGCAAACAAAGCCAAAGCACAAACATTTAATGATGTCTTTACTACATTTCTGGGGCTTGAAAGTGGTAGTTGCGTAGACTGTCAATGGAGGGACAGAAATCTCTCAGATTTCGTCAAAAACATCTTCATTTGTGTTTCGAAAATGAACAGAAGTCTTACAGGTTTGGAACAACATGAGGATGAGTAAATGATGATAGAACTTAAGTTTTACTATCTACATTTCCTTTTAAAATCCTTCAAAACAAGTGAACACCAGCGGTGCAATAAAATAAATATGTAGTACTAAATGGAAACAATTGTCATTAGTATACAAGTTAACTCTGCCTGTTAAAATAATGTTGTATGTGTGGATCTCAGTTCCATTACGATTTGCTGAATGATAGGTTAATGCAAGCTAGACACATTGTAAATGAACAGGGTTGGTGTGTCAGGGCAAATCAGAGTGTAAACACCTGCTCCAGAGCCCTTGGGGTTGTGTTAGAGAAAGCTGCTGTCTTCACAGAAGAGTAGCTGCCAGCACTCTCAACTTCACAAGCCCGTACAAACAGAGTAACACTCACCATCAGTCGGAGTATGTTTCAACAGATGGATCTCAAACAGGATCTCAGCCTTAATGGACATGTTTTCTGTAACACTTCATGAAGTGGTACATCATTTACCTAACAGTTTCTGGTCCCCATTCTACATCCCCATTCATACGATGGAAGTCAATGGGGACCTGCAAATATTTAGTCACCGGAATTCTTCAAAATATCTTCTTTTGTGTTCGACAGAAGAAAGAAATTCATACAGGTTTAGAGCAACTTGAGGGTGAGTAAATGATGACAGAATCTTCATTTTTGGGTGAACTATCTCTTTAAGGAGCTTTTGGCCTTAAAATTATAATATTAAATTTATAGTATAATATATATATATAATATAAAAAATACAGTAAAAACAGTAATATTGTGAATTATTATTACAATTTAAGCTGTTTTTTTAGTATGTTGTGAAATGTAATTTATTCCTGTGATCATTACTCCAGTCTTCAGTGTCACATGATCCTTCAGAAATCATTCTAATATGATGATTTGATGCTCAAGAACCATTTCTGATTCTTATGAATGTTGAAAACAGTTGTGCTGCTTCATATTTTTGTAGAAACCATCATACCTTTTTTTTTTTAGGACTATTTGATTAATAGAACGAACAGCATTTGAAACAGAAATCTTTTGTAACATTATAAAGGTCTATTCGGGCACTTTTGATCTATTTAATGTGTCCTTGCTGAATAAAAGTAAGAATTTCTTTAAAAAAAAAAAAAAAAAAACCTGACCCCACACTTTTGTAGTGTACATTTTTTAGCAGTGTACTTGGTAGCTAACATCTCAGACCTTTTTTGACTGCTCTTGTTTCTTAGACGCTGGAGCCGGTTGACCAGCTCCTGCAGAGTGTGGACCCAGCCAAAGACAGAGAGCTCTGGGTAAAGGAACACAAGACAGGAGATATGAGACCTGTGGACATGGACATCTAGACCGACCACACACACACACACACACACACACAGAAACACATTATACTATATGAATCTACCTGCATGCCTGTCTACCTGAGTACTTCAACCTCTCAGCCAAAGCCATACAGGTATCACCCCTTGAAGCACTGCTTGTTTTGTGGATTTCCACTGAAAATATCAGATAATTACAAAATCAAAGCTTTATAGAAGATTTTCTTAATGTCATGTGGAATGAGTGTCAGGAAAGGACAGCAGACGCATTATGATATTGAGTAGCCATCCATATAATCCTGCATGTCCTTTGAATAACTTTAAGATGCTACTAAAGACTTCCCAGTAGGTCTATTACATTAACATGAAGAAAAATAAATAAAGAAATAAAGAAATAGTCAGGGCTCCATTGATAAAGATCTGAACAAATACTGTACAGTAAAACACCTGTTTGTTTAATTGCAGCGGTGGATGCCTGTTAAACAAATTTCATTCAATCAATATTTTTTTTTATCTTTTTGGTGTAAAAGTGATAGTGTAAACACATTGAACTACACAGCTAGTTGTGGATATTTATAGTTCCCTCGATTAAAGTGTGGGTGTAAAGCTGCATGCGTTCACACTGCCAGCGACTCAGTAGCAATGACATTCACGGATGTTATTCCATGTTTTAGACACCTAATCCGTTTTCTTGCCGCTAAAAACAAACATTTTGGAGGGAAAAGACTAAATCTAAATGGAATCGGTACATAAAATGCTTATATTAAAGATGAACGAGAAACAGCGAGTGCTCTGTGTCAATGGCGGCTATTTTTAACGCTCTCGAAAGTACATTTTCATTTGCATAAAGTTAACTATGTTTACACCTGGTATAAAGATGCGTTTTGGTCGATTGGATCACAAGTGGACGACGCTAAATACAGGTGTAAACGGGATCTAAAACGTTTTGAGTTTGTCAACTTTCGACCACTTCAAGAGGAAGTTGAAAACTCATTAGACTGGATTGCTTTCTTGTGTAAACGCTCATGTGGTCGAATGCATATGAACAGCCACAAAAGACCGCCTACCGGTACTCTCTGCCTACCGATGTGGGAAGAGCGCCAGCCAGACGGGATTTTACCTTTGAGGGCTAAAGACCCAAGTTTGGTTTGAAGATGAAAAATGTACCAAGCACAACGTTCTCTCACCATTCCTGATTTCTAACACGCACTCACAGCGTTTGGCGTGGTCGTAGGGTCCTTGCACACCGAGTCCGAAATAAAAACGACCTCACGTTCTGCCAATCACGTTTACACTCTGCCTCCGAAACTTTCGCCCGTCATAAAAAAATTTGTATCGGGTTTGATTTTCTGCGTTTTTCGCATCCGTGGCAAGCATTTTGAGACGCGTTTTGACAATTCAGAGACACCGAATGACGAATACGAATACTTTTGTGCAAGGACCTTTATGCTATCAGAGCAGGAACAAAAGCAGCTGTTCTCCGTGTGTTTTTCCGTCATCTCCAAGCGCGTTCATATATAAATTGCACGAGTTTATTTCATCTATTAGTTCAAAAGATCTGAAAAAGCCCATATCAGGACAGAAGTGTTTGAAAGTGGACAAAAGAGGCGTATTACAGTTTTTCTCGATTGTTTACACACATTTTCTGAAAGCATGCCTCATACTCTCAGAACTCTACACACAAATCAAAAAAACACACACAATGGGCAAAACCTGAAACTTTACATTCAAAACAATGTTCTTTCTTCTCAAAATGGTATTTTGTTTTCAAATGACACACACAAACCATCATATGAATAGACATTTATAAGAACCAGTTGAACACTGATGTGCTCAATGTAAAACACTGTGATGAATGGAAAACACTTCTTCTCCATTCATCATAATGACTTAGGCCTTTGTTTTGTTCAGTGTTACACTTATGAATTGATTCATTAATCCTTAATTTTCTTCTTTACCACTCATTTATAAACAAGCACTTTCTATTTTTATATAATGTGAACTTTTTCTCGACACTATTCCTTATAAAAAACAATCGGATTGCTTTGATATCGCTACTTAGATCCAACTTTGCGAATCTCGGCTACTAGCCTTTAGCCCGCTAGCATTTCACGCGCAGCCTCGCGCCTATCAACCGTCTCATTTTACACCCGTTTCACTGAAAGGATACGGGTTATATCCAGCATTTCAGTCCTAAATTAGTAGTGATATTGGTAGTATCGCTACTAATTTACTGTTCATCTGCTATAATGGCGAACATATCGGATGTGTGTCTTACGACAGACAGTACATACATAAGTGTGTTGTAAAATATTTGAGAATATTGTTTTTATATTCAGAACACACAAATACACGGTAACAAATATATTAAAATTTTCCCACAAAAATAATGTACACAGTGTACATCCCAACCAACACAAAGTTGCGCATACAGTGGTCTACATACAAAACAAAAATGTACTGTATACAGTTACAGTAAAAAAACAAAAAAAACTATGCTGCATCCTCTCTTCTGTTTTGGTCTTTTATGCCAAAGCTCTGATTGCTAATTGTAAAGCTGTGTGACATGTGTTTGCCCATGTGACGAGTCAGTGTGCATATTTGAATGGCAGTGTGTTCCTTGTGAAAACAAGAGATTTTCTGCATGAAAATTGTGCCAAAAACAGAGAATTGTGTGTAGTGTTTTGAAAAAAGTGTGTTTTAGAACTGCAATTTGAGTGTAAAGCAGGAATTGTGCTTGTAGTTTAGCAAAATTGGTTCAGGGGGTTGGTGCATGATTTACATGTTGTGGTCATTGTGTCTCAAGTACCAGTATTTGTGTGTAAACAATTGAGAAAAACTGTAAAACACCAGGTGTAAACTGGAATGTGTCTCCCTCGTCTACTTGTGATCCAATCGACCAAAGCGCATTTTAATACCAGGTGTAATGGTCACTGTACCAGTTGTAATGGTCGTCAATGGTCACTGTTGCTCATGTCGTCTGAAATCGCCAGCTCTCCATTGAAATGAATGGGATCATGTCGCTTTGTTGCTGCGCGTCGATGGTGGTGTGAACGCAGCTTAACATTATGATTGTTTCAGTCTGAACAGACAGCATCTGAATGCCATATAGGTGTTCAAAGACTTCAAAAACAATCCATCCTTAGCATAACCAGCATCAAAGTTAATGGGGGAGAAATGCTAAAGCATATCATTGTTCAGTGGTTATATTGTTAAATCTTTATTGTATTGAGAAAAAGTTTTTTTTTTTTTTTGCAACAAGGAATGCAATGGAAAGTTTTTAATGCTATTTTCACAAACTACACATACTGTAAACTGCTGGCAAACCTACAGCCTTCCTTATGAAAGAGGGGTCAGGTTGCATTGTCGAAGTATGGAATTGATATATTTTCATATTTTTGCAGATTTATTTTACAGAAAAGCATGTTTTGTCTAAATGTAGGACTAGTTCTTGTATGGTTAATGGAAAAATTGATGTGTAATTTGAGTGGTGCTGGTTTAGTCCATTGATTGTGTTCATGGAAGATGTGTGAACTAGACAGGACTCGATAGCAAAGTCATATAATTTTTCCCAGTTAAAGCCAAGAAATCCTCTTATGCAGCCAGTTTTACTCTGATGGCATCCAAATATCTTCTGTAAGTTGCACTGAAGCAACTTCTAAACGATACTGTTTCTCAATGGTGAAATTATATGGTTTGGCTGTAGAATCCCGGTGTCAATCAAAGGTGGATCATATGTGAATTATAATGATTTGAGTTATAATGTACACCTTTTAGTGCCTAAAGGTAAATTGCCTTGGAATGTTCACAATCTATTCTGTTACGTGTTTGTACATAACTGTAAATATGTGCGTGGCGTTTTGTCTGTAATTGTTGTCAGGCTCATCCTACATCATGCTCATCTCTCTGTAGTCTTTGTCATAATATGTTTTAACTGATACGTAAACATTTCACTCATGGATGCCACAGTTTTCTGCTGAATGCACATTGTCATAGGCAGCTAGTTATCACTCTGTTCAAACCGTATTATACTGGAAGATCTATGACACATTTCAATTTTCAAACTTTATACAGTAATATTGAGAAATTTGATATATTTATATTGCACAGGAAGTCAAAGCACACTTTGGGAAAAGAAAAAATATCTGTGCTTTCATTTAGATTTGTATTTATTTTTACTATTGGTCAATATGACAAGAAATACATTAGTGGTTAGAGTTAGATAAATACACAACCCAATCAAATTAAGCATAGAATTTGTTTAAAAAAATTCAAAAAATGCTAATAATATAGTACTTGTTGCCAGTTTATGTGAATACATGATGGGATTTTATGTGTTCAGCTATAAGAACATTGTAAAATGCACATAAGCATGTCCGATAATGAGAAAGTAAATCTAAAATGGATCAGTAAAAAATGCTGTACCATGAAAGGTAATGCATTCAGGTTATCGTTTCCTTTATATATCGAGTTACTAACAATGATTCTCTTTTCATCTAACATAGGGTATGACTGGTTTACATTTGCTGTTTAGCATGTAACAAGTTTTACTGTACTGCATTGCCCAAGCTATTCTAGAACTACATGTTGCAGAAGTCGTATTAAAAATTGATGTCAATGGTGTGCTTTATGTGTATTCTGAAAAACTGTTCAGTTGAATGTCTGTATTCCTAACTAAATCTTTTATATATACAGTATATATATATATATATAATATTGTAAATGTTGATTTATTTGCTCTCAACTTAATAGTCTTCGTTGATAAAATGCATTTATCAACATGTTTATGAAGATATGATGTTTATGTTGAATTTGCCCTGGAAATCACTACATTGTGTATTATAATAATAAAAACAACAACTCTAATTGTTTATCACCACTGAGGTTTCTTCTTTTTAGCAACATTAGCATGTAGCATTTCTGTTTAGCTTAATATTGCTTGTCTGGCACATGCTGCCATCTTTGTTTTATGGGCCTGCAGTTCCATACTTATTTGTTTATCTTTGAGCCAGCCATCCAAATAACTGTTCACTGAAGAAATATCTACCATGACTTAATGCAAATTTTTTGTATTTCTTCAGAATGCATGCCAACTTTTGAATGGCCGTCAATGGAGAAAGATGTTTTTTGCCTGCAAAGTGTGAAGAGGCTGATTGCTCTAACTAACCAGCCAAACCTTGACCCGCTGGTTCAAAACAAAGGCAGGCCAAACCCAAAACCAGGTGATTCAGGTTTAATGTAACTCTTGTAACAATGATCCTCTATGTGTTTTTGCATGTGACCATTCAGCCTGTTTTTCATTGAGTCAAAAGCAACAATGCTGCAGAGCTCTGGCCATTGTTTTGCAGCTCGGTGTCCTAGTGTTGAATCCAGGCCATGCATTAGCCTGAGCCAAAGACGGCTTTAAGAAAAGAAAGAGGTAAGCCCCTGCGTTTCAGGCTTGTCCTATGAGATTTGGCCGTAAGCAGCGTCAACATGAAAAGATATACTTGGGGTGAGAGCCCTTTCTAGTATTCAAGTTTAGTAAGTCTAAACGTGTTTGGAGACTCTAATCTCACTCCAAACTCAATCGGTTAATTAAAGTTCAAGCTAAATATCCAGTTTGAGACAGCTTTGTTTTTGTGTGATACTATCATGTACAAAAGTAGGTCATTGACAACAAAGTGGTTACATGATATTACCAATTATTTGCACTGAAAATAAACTACAAAATATATTTATATACAGTATATTGAATTGTAATGATTGAAAAAGAAAATAACATGGACAACACAGGTTAACATTTGAACGTATCTAAAACTTCAGGCTGCTATATTATTTTACAAATACATGGACAGAAACCACAGTCAGTTGTGACTGTCATGTACACTGTTGTTCCAACACAACAGTAATCTTTGATCTAAAATGGACAGAAACAGTGTTTGGTTACACTTAAGGTGTCCTTGTTGCAGAGTAATTATACATTTACATACTGAGCAATATAAATTAACAACATGCACTTAGGGTAGGGTTAGGTATTGGTTTAGAGTTAGTTGCTTGCAATTATGCATAATTTACTGTTACTTATTACTACAGTAAGTAGATGTAACATATGTAGCAAGGACACTGTAAAACAAAGTGTTACCCTGAGTTTTTATATAGCTAATTGCCATTGGTGGATTTATCAGTAATGAAATGGACTTAGAATAGATATGAATTCCTAAATTTTTCATGTAAGAATTCTCTAAAATTGTCATCACCATCACTGTACATCCTAAAAAACACAGTACAAGAAATTTGATCTATAAAAATTTCCCAGTCGGCTGCTAAACAGATTCTGATGAATGCATGTTGAGCGCTTAAACCACCTTAACCCTGAAGGGATCTAAAAGAGGAGAGCCACTGGACCCTGCGGATTTGTCTTACCTGACCTTCAGATGCTAAGAGGATTGCATACGCTAGATAGGACTGTTAACATGAGCCTAATTGCTCTTATTGATTGGACTCTAAAAACAATGGAAATAGCAATGACTTCAGAGGCTTCAGGTAGATGTGGTGGTGGTCCAGGACAGAAGTCTTGTGTGTATTATAAGAAAAGCTAGGTTTGTCAGGTTCATAACTCTGACGTGTTTATGGATAGCGTATCTGTATGCGTCCAGTATGTGACCTGGAGAAGCAGTCTGGTTCATGTAGGTTTGGTTTCAAATGAATAGAAACGAAGTTCCGATCAGTCTCATGGGAATGTGGTCATTAATGCTTCTTTTCCTTGAGTTTTTCCTGAATCTTCTTTGGCTCGTCGAACTGTATCAACCTCAAGATGTCTTTGTTTTCCATGACACCCTGAATGAACTCCCCCTCTTCGATCTTATCTGTGAAGACAATATGACATTGTGAAAATGGATGGATTAGGAGCACACGGCATGATCCACGTATTCTACAGCAATAGCACATATTACCATCATCGTTCTTTCCGAAAAAGGTCCAAATTTTGTCTGCTCGCTTTTCTGGTGTGTCCTCATCTTCTGGAAGGTTTTTTTGGTCTTCATCCGGAATCATGTTGAATATCGACTGTTCCCAGAAAAATACACAATATTTAAATTATGTCGCTTTTAACATAAAAATAATAACTGACACATTGACAACTAATGGCATTGGATATGCTTAAGTGATTGAGACTTGTATTACACCTGGTGGTATAATCTATCCTGAGCTTCTTGAGCCATCTGTTCACAACTGTTGGACTGTTACCTACATACTACAACTTGCAGCTAAATGCCACGAGCAGTGCCTGCAAACAACCCTCTAAACCTTGCACACTTTCCATACTCAGTCAGCACCAAATGCTTTAAAAAAGTATTGTATGTTAAAGACAAATATGACCAATGCTCACCCGTACAATCTCCTGCACCTCGTTTTTACTGATGGTCCCGTTGCCATCTACATCATACAGAGCAAACGCCCATTCAAGTTTGCGCGTGGTCTTGCCTGACGAGGTAAGGTGCAGCGCCACAATGTACTCCTTAAAGTCCAAGGTTCCGTCTGCGTTGGTGTCAAAGCTGCGGAAGACATGCCTAGCGTAGGCGGAAGGATCTGCATCTGGGAAGAAACTGGCGTAGATGCCCTCAAACTGTTCTTTGGAGATGCGTCCAGTGGGACACTCTTTGAGGAAGCTGGCGTACCACGCGCAGAGCTCTTCCTCCGTGTATTTGGTGTTCAACTTCAGATCATTCAGAATCTCTTTGGACAAAGCACCGCTCTTACTGTTCCCCATATTCCCAAGCTGTACACAAGTAAAAGGGACGGATTTGCTGAGTTTCTTCTTGCTTTCACACACCCTCCTCGCTTACCTGCTCCTTTCTCCTACCAGAACGACGGGATGGCGTTGTGCTGAGTGCTGGCGTTGGCCCCTCTTTGGGCTTGGCTCCCCCTGACAACTCCTAAGTGCTGAATGGGATTATGTATATCTCTATTTAAATCCAGACAGGCTTTCTGAAAGATTAGTTAGTTACGTAACACCACTTCTGATGAGTACTGCATTATGTTGATTTGCTCCTTTACGACGTGGTCTAACAATACAAGGATGGCAAACAAAACTCTGCACTTTGCTATCGAATGGCCTGTGTCATCAAGTGTGATGAGCAACTTGGCTGCTATTTTGCTCAGAGAATCAGTTTCTACATAGGGGGGTCATTTTCCAATAAGACCCACCAGCTTACAAGACCATCTGCTATAACTCTAATTGGACTATGTAATTAACAGACATTGTTGTGTTACTGTAACGCCTTAAATATCCCAGAGGTGCATTTATGAATAGGAAAACACTGCACAAGCTGCTTTGTTGTTATTTTACTTAAATATGAACAATGTGGAGTTTCATGTTATATAAGTATGGAATGGGTATCTGCTGCTTTGCAGTTACTAACAATTTACTGAAATCTGATGTCACACGTCACCGTTTTGCAGCTCCAAACACTCTATAAGACGGCAAAATCAAACAACAAATGGTGCTAATCCACACTTGTGTGCTGTAATACAACCGAATCATGATCCTAACCTTCATTCCCATAACGAAATCTCATATGGCCAGGCAGTGATTCATCTTTTATGACTTGTTAAAATGTTCGTGTCCAGGATGTCGTGAGTCCATATGTAATCTGCAAGGTTTTAAAAGCGTAGCTTAAATGTGTGATATGAATAAATAGTCCTCTTAAACACCTCTTGAAATTGTTTTCTCAATTAAAATGAGTAGAAGCTTTGACCCAGAACCAGTATTTCTTATGTCATGTCTTAACAAGCGAATTGAATCAAGTCATGGGGCCTGACATTAGCATCCATCTTGCTTCCAACATCTTTGCATCCCATAAACATTTTTTTGGATGTCCCATGTGTTTTAAATAGGATTGTTGCATTTTCTTTCTGTCTGACCAGTGTTGGACAGCTTATGACTATTTGTTTGTCATCCCTCATGACATGTCAATGATTCTTACTTGATTTGCTTCCCAATCATAATAGTAGATTGGTTCCATTCACTCTTAAAAAGAAAGGTTTCTTTATTGGTATCTATAGTACCATGAAGAAAATTTAACATCCATGAAACCTTTCCATTCCACAAAAAGTTAATTATAATGAAAAAAAGGTTCTTCAGATAAATTTTTTTTTTTTTTTTTTTTTTTAGAAACGTTCCCCAAAAAAGTTATTTAGGGGACCAAAACGGGTTATTTTTCTAACACATTGGATGTTGCAACCCTGTGTTATGATGATAAGTGTCACTTTTTTGATTTGATGCAATTTATTTAGTTTGTACTGGTGTTGTTTTGCTGGGCGGGTGTGCTTTTGTTTGGATGGTGAACAGCTTGAGCTACTGACCTCTCTAAACTCATTAGCACACATTGCCTATTTGTGTTGCCTCAAGTCATGGAGGTCAATACTGCTCTACTAACCAGATTATGACTGACGACAGATCTGACAGCCAAAAAAGGGAAACTGATCTTATTGATATAGTGTGTCTGCTGTGCTTTAATTCTTAGCTTTTTAGGGTCTGTTTACACCACAACAATGTACTTAAAAACGTAAAAGTTTTTCCTTTGTGCTTTGAAAAGTTTTGCGTACAGACAACAGCGTTGTCAAAACCATCCCCATTCACACCGATCCCGAAAAAAACTACAAAAAACGCTGTATTATGGAATGCGTCTCTGCTGGTCGTAGTAGTGGTGCAGTATCTACACTTTGCTGGAGAAGCATTAATAAACTCTGTATCTTGAGCAGGACAAACACAGTCCTGTATGTGTTGCCTATAGACTGAACGTGTAATACACAATCACATGACATCACTGTTTTCACAGATTCACATTTTTGTAGTTTACATGGAGGTGATAACTGTATCGTTTTCAAAAACACTTTGAAGCCCGCTTTAAAAACTGTTAATTTTTTAGGTTCCCAAAACACCATTGTCGTGTAAATGAACAGAAGTTTTTAGTTGTCGTTTGAATAGTCCCTTAATCAAGAGCATTATAGGGCACATTTACACAACAACAATGCACTAAAAAATCCTTTGCATTTTTTTTCGTACAGACAACAACGTTATCAAAACGATTCCTGTTCACCGAATCCGTGAAAACGAGTACAAATGCTGTATTATTCATGCCTGGCCAGTAGTTGGCGATGTCACTTTGTAAAGAAACACTACACACCTATAGACTGAACACGTAATACGCATGCACATGATGTCACCGTTTTCACAAATTCAGTTTCTTTTTAGTTTACAATGCGATGATAATGCTATCGATTAAAAAAAAGATTGCACTGTAAATGAATGGCCAAAATGACTAAAAAGTAGGGGTGTTACATCGTGTCACAATATATCTCAAATACAAAAATGCAACAATATCGTGGATAGTTCACCCAAACCAAACATTTCTGTGAGGAAATGTTTTCAGAGTTTGAGTGTCAGTACTACAACCCCAAATCAGAAAAAGTTGGGACAGTATGGAAAACACAAATAAAAAAAGAAAGTAGTGATTTCTAAATGTACTTTGACTTGTATTTCATTGCAGACAGTGTGTACACAACATATTTCATGTTTTGTCTGGTCAACTTAATTTCATTTGTAAATATACATCCTTTCCTGTCATTCAGACCTGCAACACATTCCAAAAAAAGGTTGGGACAGGAGCAATTTAGGGCTAGTAATCAGGTAAATTGGTTAAATAATTATGTGATTTGAAAAAGGTGATGTCAACAGGTGATTGTAATTATGATTTGGTGCAAAAGCAGCATCCAAGAAAGGTCTAGTCCTTTAGGAGCAAAGATGAGCCGAGGATCGCCAGTTTGCCAACAAATACGTGAGAAATTGATTGAAATGTTTAAAAACAAAATGTTCCTCAAAGAAAGATAGGAAGACATTTGCTTATTTCACCTTCAACAGTGCATAACATAATTAAAAGATTCAAGGAATGTGGAGGAATTTCAGTGCGTAAAGGACAAGGGCGCAAGCCTAAGCTGAACAACCGTGATCTCCGATCCGAGCGATATCACCACATGGGCTCAGGACTACTTTGGCAAACCTTTGTCAAGTACCACAATACGTAGTTACATCCACAAATGCCAGTTAAAACTGTACTGTGCCAAAAGGAAGCCCTATGTTAACAGTGTCCAGAAGCGCCGTCGACTTCTCTGGGCTCGGAGGCATCTGGCATGGACCATCACACAGTGGAAACGTGTACTGTGGTCAGATGAATCAGTATTTCAGGGGAGAAATGGACGCCGTGTGCTCCGGACCAAAGAAGAAAAGGATCATCCAGACTGTTACCAGCAACAAGTCCAAAAGCCAGGGTCTGTCATGGTATGGGGTTATGTCAGTGCCCTTGGCAAAGGTAACTTGCACTTCTGTTATGGCACCATTAATGCTGAAAAGTACAGAGATTTTGGAGCACAATATGCTGCCTTCAAGAAGACATCTTTTCCAGGGACATCCAGGCATATTTCAACAAGATAATGCAAAACCACATTCTGCACACATTACAGAGTCCTGGCTGCGGAGGAAGAGGATACGGGTACTTGACTGGCCTGACTGCAGTCCCGACCTGTCTCCAATAGAGAATGTGTGCGACAACGAAGACCCCGTACTGTTGACCACCTTAAGACTTGTTCGCAGCAAGAATAAGACAAAATTACACCTGAAATACTTCATCACTTGGTGTCTTCAGTCCCTAAACGTATTTTAAGTGTTGTGAAAAGGAATGGCAACATTACAAAGTGGTAAATGCTTTACTTTTCCAACTTTTTTTGAAATGTGTTGCAAGAACCAAAATAGAAAAGAAAAAAAAAAAACAATAAAAATCATGAGGAACACATTCAATTATGTGCTGTTGTATTGTCTGCAATGAAATACAAGTCAAAGTACATTTAGAAATCACTACTTTCTTTTTTTATTTGTGTTTTCCATACTGTCCCAACTTTTTCTGATTTGGGGTTGTACATTAAACTGCTATGTATAATGTTGAATATAATGCAATGGGGGAATTTGTATGGGATAATGCCAAATGTCTTACGTTACCAGTAAAACATGAACTACATTATTTGAAATATCTTGTCAGTGACAGAGTGCAAGCATATTGGTCTAAAATAATTCTGAATTTTCAGCTTCAGAATCATGAATACTTTTAGTTCTGTGCGTTTGGTTATCGACACCAAGTCCAAGCCTTTACACACACAATGTTAAATCAAATTTAGCATTTTAATCAACAGTACATTTTTTGTTAACCTTTTACCATGCGTCTTGGAGTATCGCAATAATATCGTATCCTGATATGTATCAAATCGTGGCATGAGGGTATTGTTACACCCCTAATAAAAAGTTTCCCGTTTTTAGTTTTTAAACGGTATCGTGTAAAAGGTCCCTTAATCTAACAAACTAACAGTACTGTCACATGGAATTGCTCAAACAATGACAAACATGTTTTCCAAGCACTGCCATTGTGCCCCATTTACCATCACTCAAATAAGCACAAGTTGAGCAGAAACCCAGGACATAGGTTCAGTCAGTATTGGCCTAACAATAAAAAGCAATGCTGAAAGCACAAAATAGTCGTAGTGTTTACGCTCTCCAGGAAGTCAAATAAATAATGGAAAATAATACTACGGTCCTGAAAAATATATACTTTTTTTTTTTTTTTCACATGGTAGATAGAACTGGCTACAACCAGTTTGACACGGTGACAGTAGTGGTGAGTAAGCGTGCACAGGGATTATTTCATTATATCATGTCAGGCAGATCTATT